CCGGGTGCTCCCTCTCGCCGAGAGCCACTCTCTCCCCAGGAGCTGCGTGAGTGGTTTGCCCGGCACTGGAGGCGAGCTGCTGGAGCTGCTGGAGCTGGAGGTGCTGCGGGTACTGGAGGTTCTGTTGCTTCTGAGGGAGCTGGTGCCACGGGTCCCGGAGGTGCTCGTACTGGGAGTACTGGAGCTACTGGACCTGCGGGTACTTCTGGAGCTGGAGTTGCTGCGGGTGTTGGCGCGGAGGCTACTGCTGTCGGTCCTGGAGGCGGTCCTGCTGGGGGTACTACTGGTACTGCTGGGGGTTCTGGAGCTGGAGCTGCTACTGGTGCTGGTGCTGCCCCTGGGGGTGCTGGTGCTGTCCCTCCTGTGTCTGGAGTCGCCGCGCGGCCTCGGCCGTACTTCGTTCCGCTCCTTCAGCAGGTTCTTGGTCTTCCGCCTTCTACTGGTCCTCCTCCTCCCTTAGAGTGTCCACAGCCTGTCCCGTCGCAGTTCCAGTTACCGCCGGCCTCCCCACTGCCTGCTCCGTCTCCCTACACTGGTCCTACTGGAGGTCTGGCTGAGCGTCGTGAGCCTGCGTCTCGCCCTGCGTCGCCTGTCCGTGCTGCTCGCACTAGTGGTCGCGGTTCGCGTCAGCGTCCTCCTCCTGTCCCTGGCACGCACCGGATGTCTCTGCGTCCGTCCACTGCTCCTCTGCGTGCCCCTTTGCCTTCTCCTCCTGAGTCTTCTCTTCCTACTCTTGCCGACCCGGAGTCGGACTCTCTTCGCGCTGCCAGTCCTACTGTCACGCGTCTCCTTGCTACGGTTGTCACTGACCCTTCCTTTGAGTCCACTGCTGCGTCTGCTCTAGTTGCTGAGCTCGTCGACTTTGCTGCTCGCTGTCGCCTAGACTGCGTCGCCAGTCTTGTTGCTGAGTCTGAGTCTGTCTGTCCTCCGTCCGTCGGGGGTGAGTGTGCCCTTGGCACGGACGTCCTTGAGGACAGGCAGGAGGAGTTCCAGTGCTTGGCCGCTGCTTCACCTCATCTCGTGTCCGTACTGCTTACCCCTGAGGGAGACCCGGATGCACTTGACATCCCGACTCCGCGCTCTTACGCGGAGGCGATAGAGGGTCCCTACTCCTCTCAGTGGCAGGCAGCTATGGACGCAGAGATGGCTTCCTGGAAGTCCACAGGCACCTACGTTGACGCTGTTCCCCCTCCTGGGGCGAACATTGTCAGTGGCATGTGGATTTTCAGGGTGAAGCGACCGCCGGGTTCTCCGCCTGTCTTCAAGGCGCGTTACGTGGCTCGTGGCTTCAGTCAGCGGCAGGGAGTTGACTACTTTCAGACCTTCTCTCCCACCCCGAAGATGACCACTCTTCGGGTACTGCTGCACGTAGCTGCTCACCGTGACTACGAGCTACACTCTCTTGACTTCAGCACTGCTTTCTTGCAGGGCAGCCTGCACGAGGAGATCTGGCTGCGTCGCCCACCTGGCTTCACTGGGTCTTTTCCTCCTGGCACCCAGTGGAGCCTACGGCGGCCAGTCTACGGTCTCCGCCAGGCACCGCGTGAGTGGCACGACACACTGAGGACTACACTTGCGGCTCTTGGGTTTGCTCCCTCTACTGCCGACCCGTCGCTGTTTCTGCGCACCGACACTTCTTTGCCGCCGTTCTACATTCTCGTGTACGTCGACGACTTGGTCTTTGCCACAGCTGACACTGCTGGACTAGCCCACGTGAAGTCCGAGCTGCAGAAGAGACACACGTGCACTGACCTGGGTGAACTGCGCAGCTACCTTGGCTTGCAGATCACTCGGGACAGAGCACGCCGCACCATTACCCTGACTCAGTCACACATGGTGCAGCAGGTCCTTCAGCGTTTCGGCTTCACGTACTCCTCGCCTCAGGCCACTCCTCTGCCTACTCGCCACTCGCTCTCAGCTCTGCCTTCGGATGAGTCCGTAGAGTCGAGTGGCCCGTACCCAGAGCTTGTTGGCTGCCTCATGTACCTGATGACCTGCACACGACCTGACCTTGCATACCCTCTTAGCATTCTTGCACGCTATGTTGCTCCTGGGAGACACAGACCGGAGCACATGGCTGCAGCGAAGAGGGTGTTGCGCTACTTGTGCAGTACGTCGGGCATGGGGCTTGTACTTGGAGGGCAGAGTCCAGTGGTCCTTACTGGGCACGCAGACGCTTCTTGGGCTGACGACCAGGCTACGCAGCGGTCGTCACAGGGTTACACCTTCAGCCTTGGTTCCGGCTCTGTTTCGTGGCGGGCTACTCGCTCGTCTTCTGTTCTCGGCTCCAGTTGTGAGGCTGAGATCTACGTAGGAGCCATGGCTGCACAGGAGCTTCGCTGGCTCACCTACCTGCTGACTGACCTCGAAGAGTTGCCTCGTTCTCCTCCAGTGCTGTACGTAGACAACAAGGCCATGCTGGCCTTGTGTCGGGAGCAGCGACTGGAGCACAGAACGAAGCACATTGCTCTCCGCTACTTTCTTGCTCGTGAGCTGCAGCAGCGTGGTCAGCTGCGTCTTGCGTACGTGGCCTCTGAGGCCAACACTGCTGATATCTTCACCTAGGCACTTGCGCCTTGTGACCATCAGCGCTTCTGTACTCAGCTGGGCCTTGTGCCTACCTTGCCTCACTTGCTCACCTCTTGACCTTGCTTGTACTGTTACTTATATATATTCCTGCTCTTGTTTGTCTAGCCTTTTTATATATATATGTGTACTCCTGCTTGTGAACTGGCCTTGTGGCCTTGAACTTGTGCTCGGAATGTGTGGTGACTTTGTGATCCACCCTGAGCTTGTTTTTGCTTTGCTTTGCGTGACTGGTCTTGTGACCCCTTGTTCTCCCCCACTTTGCCTATGGGGGTGTGTCAGATTTATATGACATAGCTACTGTAGGCTATAGTGGGGTAGCACATATGGGGTACAGTTTCCTAGGGTTTACTTATTGTACCCAACTTTCACTTAGTCTTTTATCATTCCTCGTTTCTTCTCACCTGGCGCGGAAACTAGAAAATCTAGTCCCGTTTTGGCCTCCCGCATCTCGGTGGCGGCGTAAAGTGCATCGTCGTCATCATCACCGCAGCTGTTCTCACCGGTGATCGCCATGGCGCGTTCACGCCACCTTCCTGAATCGGTGAGTAGTAACGAGAAACCCTGGGAGAGAGAGAGCCTGCCGAGCAGGCTTCAGGGAGACTGCAGAGATTGATGTTTCGGAAAGGGATGGAGTCTGGAGAGCTGGAATGGCAGAATCACGAGACCCCCTGCGTGGGGTGGCTGAGCGGGCCGCCCCAGCACGCCCTGCCTTGGTGGAAAGAACAAGGCTGCCCACTGGCCCACTGGGCCACTAGGCTTGGTTGTTTGTGCGCATCAATGGAACGTAATGACAAGTGTTGGTTATCCAACGTGACAACGGTACATTGCTTCAGCTGGGACAGCCAATCTCTTTACGCAGTTTTGCCAACACAGCCCGAATTTACCCCGTTCAACTGTATCTGGGCGCGCCGCAGGGTGGCGTCGGTGCAGGGTGGGTACATGCATGATGACGGCCCGCAAAACTGCGAGAATCACGTAGTTTTCGATTTCAGGGTCGTCTCCGATACAACACTGACTCGTCAGTGTCGACAAACTAGAAACACAGGAAAATCAGGATTCGGAAAAGAAAAACACTGATTCATCAGGGTTGTAAAAACAAAAAGGTTGATTCATCAGGGTTACAATAAAAAACCGGGGTCAAACATCAGGAAATCAGGGTAAAATTCCTGGAATCTGAGGCCCTGGGTGCTAGACTGATCGTAAGGGTTGGTCAAAACCGAAAATGAGCCCTGGTGAGGAGTGCACAGTGATGTTTCATTGATCACTATTCGTAACATGTACCCTAAGAGTATATGGCTAGCTAGGTCGTTTCGTATTCCACTGTACTCATATTTATATTCTCTGTATTTCATGTTTTAATCATCTCAAGCATTTTACATTCACTCTATTGAGGTCAAGGGCCCACCACCACTATAACGTGTGCGAACCTTCCCGAGGTGATCCTAGGGTCGATCAACTTCTGATCGCAACACTACAGTTTCATCGCGTTCCTCCACCGCGTTCCATCGACTTCCGCCCATCCCGCTCTGCTCATCGAACCTCCGTCCATCGCGCTCCTGCGTGCGCGCACCCACCATCGGGCATGGCTCGAGCGAGTGCAAGCCGATGGGCCTCCCCGCTGGCGACGGCCGCCATTGAAGCGCGCACGCTGCTGCGCCACCCCTCGTCGTGCCGTGCCGCTCCGCCACGAATCCCGCGATGCATTATTGCGGACACCCCGCCTCTCATTCCCCCCTATTGCCTTCCTCCATCGCGTCCCACCCATCGAGCTACGGTCCATCTCCTGCGTGCGCACCCATCGGGCATGGCTCCAGCGAATTGCCTTTTCTAAGCTCTCGGATCCGCCGTTCAAACGGCGTTGCGTCTCTCATTTCGCATCTCGCTCCTCCTGACGATCGCACCTTGTTCATTTCACTCAATCACCAGCAATCGCCGCCGGCCCAGTAGGTCGTCACGAAGGTTCGCCTTTCCGCGCGACTGGAAAGACGTTGAAGGCCTTCGCCGTGTGCAGCCGCGATGGCTCGCTGCGGGCGGCCGTCTGTCGTTGGCGTCGTCGCACTCGTCGCCGGGCTCGCTGCGATCAGCCTCCTCGCGACGCACGCCAGCGCAGGTGAATGCCGACGCACTCTTGTCGTCACGCCTGGTGGCACGCCGTTAAAGTGGGTGTTCACTCTTGCTCACTCACCCAATTGGGTTTGACCCTCTTGCTTCTCGCACTCGTTCTTCTAACGCTTTCGCTTCCAACCGTGGTTGCAAGAAGCCTTTCCGCCCCCGCAAGCGCATCAGATGGTGAGTGCTGCCAGCCACCAGCGGCACCACTGGTTGAGAGCGGGAGTAGGCAGAATGAGGCAGAAACTTACCTCTTCTATCCCCCCCTGCCCTGCTTCAACTCCACCTGGAATGCCCTGCAGACGCGTGTGCCTCCGTGGAGTGCGGGTCAGACGCTTACTGCTTGGCGCCCGACGATGGGCCCCCCGTGTGCCTCTGCAGCTTTGCCGGCTATGCTTTCAATGAGACGAGCAAGACATGCACTGGTGAGTGGTGGGGGTGTGACCGTGTGGGTGACTGCTGGGAGTGTGGGTGAGTGAGTGCACGAATGGAAGTGAGACCAATGCGGGCGTGGCCGAATGCTCTCAGTCAGTCAGCTGTGCTCTCGGGTGGTCACAAGGAAAGAGCCGTCACCTGCCCAGGGCGTATGGTCAACTGCCCAGGGCGTATGGTCAGCTGCCCAGGGCGTATGGTCAGCTGCCCAGGGCGTATGGTCAGCTGCCCAGGGCGTATGGTCAGCTGCCCAGGGCGTATGGTCACCTGCCACCACTCAATGTGAGCGTTTCTAATCTTGCCCCTTGCCGTCTCCCCTCCCTCCTTCTTCCACCCTCTCCCCTTCGCCTGCCCACTGCAGACCCATGCGAGGCAGTGCAGTGTCCCGAGACGACACAGTGCGTGGCGCAAGATGGACAGGCGCAGTGCCAGTGCCCCGGGCTCTACATCATGCAGAACGGCACCTGCACGGGTGAGCTGCAATGCATCCACTATTAGATTGTGAGGCAATCACACCTTGTCTTGCTTCAACTGTTGTAACCCCTTAGAGGCCGCCCTGAGAGCATTACTCGCCTCATCCCTCAATCCTCCCCACACCCCACCCTCTTGCCCCTTTATTCCACTCTCTTGCCCCTCGGCTACAACATCTCGACGGCGTGCCACGCCCACCGTGCCCCGCCCACCGTGGCCAGATGGAGAGCTGCAGACGGTGGTGCAGGTGGAGGGCGTTGACAACATGGACTTGCTCTCCTTCCAGAGCCCCGTGCCCATGGCGCGCGCCACTGGCGCCATCGCCTGCACCAACATCAGCGACCTGGGCGGCAGCATCACCAAGATCGAAGTGGGATGGAAGGGCTATGAGGATTTTACAGCTGGCAAGGGCATGTGCAAGAGCGTCTCGTTTCACGCCGACTCGGCTTGTGCGGAGAAGCCGGGTTTGACCATCGCCCGCCCTGCCATGCTCCGCAATGCCTTCCCCGACACAAAAGCGTGAGCGAGGGTGGTGATCAGAGGGCACTGTTGTTTCTTCCTCTGTGCCTCTAGCGTTTCACAAGGGGTCCAGTCAGCAAACTTCTCATCTTCATCTCCCAACGGTGTGCTCGTCTGTGGTCTGCCCTGCCCTCGCCTTGCCACTCGCAGGACTGTGGAAGCAGCCCAGGCGCGATCAGTGAGCTGCGAGATCAGTAAGTGGGAGAGCAGAAGCGTGTCAGAAGCGCGTGCGTATAGCCCATGCGCTGCACATTGCGGCAGAGGTCACAGTACCTTCACCTCAATTTGGTTACCATCCCTTCAATAACGTGTTCTTGCACTCCTAGTTGTATCAAAGTGACTGGGTGTGCGATTTGGAGACACAGCCACAGCCCTTTGAATGAACCTTATTTCCGCCCTCCTATGCCAGAAGTGCCTTACTGACCCCTTTCCCCTGTCCCCCTTGTATGCCTGGTTGGTGTGTGCCTCGGTGCTGCCAACATCAGCCACGTGTCACAAGGACTGCGACAAGAAGCCCCCTCGTACGTCGCTCTGCCCCCGCTTCCTTGCAACCATGACATACCACAATAATGCTACGAGTGCTCACTTTTATGTCCTCGGTCTCTCCCGCTCATCCTCCATTCTTCCACCTCTCTCACTCACTCACCCGCTTGGCAGCTGTGTGCAAGCCTGCCTGCACTGCGAACTTCCGGTGCATGGTGGTGAATGGAAAACCAACGTGTCAGTGCAAAAAAGGATTCAAGCTGGTCAACAAGAAGTGCAAACGTAAGAGCGAGGGCGAAGAGTATTCTGCCCTACTTTATTTATCTTCCAAACATCCATAGCTGCAGCAAGCATCATGCGCGCCCCCCCCCTCCCACAACCTCCACCACCACAACCACTGTGCATCCTATTCGCTTTGACCTACCCTACTCTTCCACTGTCCTCATGATCTGCTTTCTGTTCTCTTGTTTCATTCGTTTACATATCGTTGAGTGCTCTTCCCACCCACCTGCCCTGTGTTATGCTGCAGGGGTGAGCTGGGTGCGCTGGAAAGGGCTCGTGTGATCCGAGGCGAGGCGTCAACTCACGCTATCAAGGGGCCGTGCCACTTGATAACAGAGGTGCTAGCGACTGCAGAGGGCAGGGATCAAGTCTAGGTGGTTGTGGGCTGGGTTACTTTGTGTGTATTGTATTGTATGGATACTCTTGCTTACCATAGCATGTGTACTTGTTTGGCTCTGTGCATACCGTATTCAACACACTACAGCATTTCACGTAAACAGCAGTTACCACTACCACGTAAATGATATGGCAGCAATAAGGCGGTACACTAAGCTGTGCACGGCGTGCAAGCGCGGTGCTACTGGGCATGGAGGCGGTTGAAGAGCCGCACCAGCTGCTCGAATGACAGCTCCTCGGGACGCGCCTGCACGCAGGAGGTGCGGGCAGTGGGAGGCGTGCGGGCAGTGGGAGGCGTGCGGGCAATGAACATAAGGTGTGTGAGCATGTGTGATGCTATGGAACATGGGACTAAGAGAGTTGGTTGGGTCGAGTGTCGGCAAGGGTGGAAGGCGACGGAAGGCATTACTGCTCTGCAATGAGAGTGCAATGGGCTGTGCAGGCCAGCGGAACAAGGGGCCAAACATGGGGCTTGGAAGGAGTGGCACTGTGGCGCTCGCTTCAGGGGCCAACAGCGATTCAGACCACTCAACAACCAAGCTTACCGCCCACTGCACCACACCCTGTGCCCCGCCCACTGCACCACACCCTGTGCCCCCCCTAACGGCACCACGTGACTCACAGTGGCGGGCAGCGAGAGCGCCTCGAGAGCAGCGGACACCTGCTGTGACGAGTAGGAGGGCTGCAGCGACGCCCGCAGCATCTTGCGCTTCGCCTGGAACGCCCTGTTCACCTGCCCTCGTGCCGGTGGGGTGTGGGGGACAGCAGGAGTGTCAGGGCAGGACTGACGACAGACCAGATGGTGCAGCGATAAATGAGTGACAGAGTGCGCGTCGACACACACAATCCAACACCTCCGTGGCAACGAGTGCGGGGTAATGAGCATGGGTGGCACCGTATTGTGAGGAGCGTTAGGGTGGTTACCATGTGAAAGAACTGGGTGGGCGATGCCACGTGGACTCGTTCCATTGGTGGCTTGAGGGCAAATGACACGACTGCTGCATCAACCTGGTCCATGGGAGACACGACGAGACATGAGATGGTCATTAAGAGAGCCCAGTTGAGGAGATTATTGCAACTGCGTAGAGCAGAAACGGAGGACAAAAGAAAGGTGTCACATGCACAGGGTGCCATTGTGCACATGACATGCACAGGGTGCCATTGTGCACATGACATGCACAGGGTGCCATTGTGCACATGACATGCACAGGGTGCCATTGTGCACAGGGTGCCATTGTGCACAGGGTGCCATTGTGCACAGGGTGCCATTGTGCACGTGACATGGGGTATGGGAGGCATGCAGCACGGGGCACGGGGCATGGGGCATGGGGCATGGGGCATGGGGCATGGGGCACGGGGGGAATGGGGCGTGGAGCATGGGGCATGCAGATTACGGCATGCGGCATGGGGCTTGCGGCATGGGCACAGGGCACGGGGCAAGGGACATGGGCCATACATTGGGTGGGGGTAGGAAGCTGCGACGGCTGACGAAGAACTGATAGGTGGGATCTGATGGGCGCCCGGTGATGCACCGGTGGGGGAGAGTGAGCGATGGGGCGAGAGGAGTGAGCGATGGGGAGAGGGGAGTGAGAGACGGGGAGAGGGGAGTGCGAGATGAGGAGGGAATTGAGAATAAAGGGTGCAGAGTAAGAGATGAGGGGATTGCAGAGTAAGAGATGAGGGGATTGCAGTGTATTGGGGAAGCAGTGACATGGTGCTGCTTGCTGAGGCAGAGCCGAGTGCTCACCTGCATGGCACCTCACCTGCATGGCACCTCACCTGCATGGCACCTCACCTGCATGGCACCTCACCTGCATGGCACCTCACCTGCATGGCACCTCACCTGCATGGCACCTCACCTGCACGAACACTCATAAAAAGAGGCGGAGCAGAGAGCTCACCCGCATAGTACTGCACGAACACACTCATCGGTCGGTACTGCGACGCTGCCGGTGTGGCATCCACCAGCCGCTGTGCCGCGTCATCCTGCCCGGTGGGGAGTGGTGGGGGATGGTGAGAGATTTGGGGGGATGTGAGAATTTCCTACACAGGTGGATATTATGCTTGCAGCCATGCATCACAGCATCCCCACACACCATGCCATCACACCATGCCCTCACCCCACGCCCTCCCAGCTGTCACCTGCAGCCCGCCATCACACCATGGCATCACACCATGGCATCACACCATGGCATCACACCATGGCATCACACCATGGCATCACACCATGGCATCACACCATGGCATCACACCATGGCATCACACCATGGCATCACACCATGGCATCACACCATGGCATCACACCATGCCATCACACCATGGCATCACACCATGGCATCACACCATGCCATCACACCATGGCATCACACCATGCCATCACACCATGGCATCACACCATGGCATCACACCATGCCATCACACCATGGCATCACACCATGGCATCACACCATGCCATCACACCATGGCATCACACCATGGCATCACACCATGCCATCACACCATGGCATCACACCATGGCATCACACCATGCCATCACACCATGGCATCACACCATGGCATCACACCATGGCATCACACCATGCCATCACACCATGCCATCACACCATGCCATCACACCATGCCATCACACCATGGCCTAGCAGCACCTCACCTCACCTGCAGCATGCCTCACCTGCAGCATATCACCTCACAGCACCGCACCTCACCTCACCTCACCTGCAGCATGCCTCACCTGCAGCATATCACCTCACAGCACCGCACCTCACCTCACCTCACCTGCAGCATGCCTCACCTGCAGCATGCCTCACCTGCAGCATGCCTCACCTGCAGCATGCCTCACCTGCAGCATGCCTCACCTGCAGCATGCCTCACCTGCAGCATGCCTCACCTGCAGCATGCCTCACCTGCAGCATGCCTCACCTGCAGCATGCCTCACCTGCAGCATGCAGACGACGGTGGAGACGAGGTGGCCGAGCGGCAGGAAGAGGCGCAGGAAGTCCGTGGTGATGTTGAAGGGCAGGTTCGTCACCACCTGGGGGAGAGGCGCAGAGGCACGTCAGGCGGGGCATTACAGGGGAAGGCAGCTGATGTTGAAGGTGTAATCTGGGTCTGACCTCATGCCTGGGTTTGAGGGTGCCTGAGTTAGGCCTTTCCTGTTCAAACAGCCCACAGCCCATCCTCGCAACGGCTTATGGAGCTTCATCTCGAGCCTCTGTAGGTTCGTGACAGGCCAGCCTTTTGGCCATTCTACCCTTCATTTTAGTCACATCAGCAAGAGGCACCCCCCATCTATAAAAGAACAATATATGTATATATATATATATGTATACATTTTTGTGAAGAATTGGTTTCTCACCCGCTGTGAACATTTCTTTGTGGTCCAGACGTTGAAGGAGGAAGGAGGCGATCCAGACAGCCAAGTGTGGGATGAGCTCCGCCCTCCAACCACGGAGGCCTAAATAGGCAAGCACTTGCGCACGCCTGTGCGCCGCATGGGCTTCAGCCTTGAGCCTACGCTACCCACCTTGGCTTCAGCCTTGAGCCTACGCTACCCACCTTGGCTTCAGCCTTGAGCCTACGCTACCCACCTTGGCTTCAGCCTTGAGCCTACGCTACCCACCTTGGCTTCAGCCTTGAGCCTACGCTACCCACCTTGGCGCGCACGGCACTGCTGCCTCCACTCCCCTCGCTGCCTCCACTCCCCTCGCTGCCTCTGCTCGCCGCAGCGCCAGCTGTGGGAGCAGCAGCGCCAGCTGTGGGAGCAGCAGCAGGGCGTGCAGCAGCAAGAGGCACCGGCGGTTCGCCCACCACACCCTCCATCCCACTCGTGCGTGCTTCTGCCCCGCCACTCGCCAACGCCCCTTCGCCTTGTGCTGCCCTTCCCTCCGCCCCTCCCAGTGTGTGTGCGTCGCCCCCTGCTGTGCCCGTGAGGCAGTGCAGGCGAGCCGGCAGGAGGGCGTGCACGGGCCACTTGAGGATGTCCGCCTGCACCACCTGCCGTGGTGGGCGTGGTGGGCGTGGTGGGCGTGGTGGGCGTGGTGGGCGTGGCGGGCGTGGCACAGAGCATGTAGACGAGAGGAGAGGACGAGGGCGGGCAAGGAGATGGCCGAGCACAGGGCAAGCAGTGCAGGCCAAAGGGATGAGCGATGGCAAGGGGAGGCACACAAAGCAGCTGGGCACGACACATGCGAGGCCAACACAGCCCAACACAACACATGATATCCGACCCACATGGGCCACAACACATGATATCCGACCCACATGGGCCACAACACATGATATCCGACCCACATGGGCCACAACACATGATATCTGACCCACATGGGCCACAACACATGATATCTGACCCACATGGGCCACAACACATGATATCTGACCCACATGGGCCACAACACATGATATCCGACCCACATGGGCCACAACACATGATATCTGACCCACATGGGCCACAACACATGATATCTGACCCACATGGGCCACAACACATGATATCTGACCCACATGGGCACGCAGGCAGGAGGGCAGGCGGGCAGGTGGGTGGGCAGGCGGGCAGGTGGGTGGGCAGGCGGGGGCAGGCAGACAGGCTGGCAGGCAGGCACATGCTAGTGGAACCAACCAGCGTTACCAGCGGCAGCAGTAGTGGGAGGGTCGGGAGGGACGGGAGGAGGGTTTAGCCAAGCCAACCGGGTGGTAGAAGCGAGTTACTTGCAACCAGCGGCTGACCCATGGCCCATCGCTGCAACCAGCGGCTGACCCATGGCCCATCGCTGCAACCAGCGGCTGACCCATGGCCCATCGCTGCAACCAGCGGCTGACCCATGGCCCATCGCTGCAACCAGCGGCTGACCCATGGCCCATCGCTGCAACCAGCGGCTGACCCATGGCCCATCGCTGCAACCAGCGGCTGACCCATGGCCCATCGCTGCAACCAGCGGCTGACCCATGGCCATGCTGGACACGAACCCATGCTGGACACGAACCCATGCTGGACACGAACCCAGTACCCATAGGCACTCACAGGTTGTATGGTAGGCTTCTAGAGTCGCTTGGGTAGCCCACCACGTGTGTATCACCACTTACATGCCCGCCCATCTCGTAGCAGTGAATATGCTTGATAGCCCGTGTCTTACACTTGCTGTACCGTTTGTTACATTCAATGAGAAGGAGTGTTAGGGGAGGGGAGGGACGTGCACACCTCGACTTGTGGGCACTGGGCGAAGCGCTCCCGCACCAGCTGCACCATGTCAGGGTCCTGTGCGGTGCAGAGCGGTGGGTGGATGTGATGGGCATGAGGAATGTCAGAGGAACATGGGGGAAGCGAAACGACTTGACGGGGCAAATGAAAACATGGCAGCGATGGGAGGGAGATGAACGATGGGAGGGAGAACACATGCAGTTGAGGAGGGAGAGAGAATCAGCGGTGGGGGGAGGGGTGGGTAAGAGCAGCGGAGAGACGAAGGAGTGGAATGAGCACCCTTAGCATCTTCCCACAAGAGGCAGCAAACATTTGGCACTGCCACCACTGCGCCTACAATCCGCTTCTCCCCCCCTTCTCCCACTTTCTCCCTACCTCTCACCTCCCTTCTCCCGGCCTCTCACTCCCCTTCTCCCCGCCTCCCCGCCTCCCCGCCTCTCACTCCCCTTCGCCTCCCCTCGCACCTTCTCCACAGCAATCACATGCGCCCCAGCAGCCACGAGTGCGGCGGTGAGAGCGCCCGTGCCCGGCCCCACCTCCACCACCACGTCGCCCGCCACCACTCCCGCTGCCGCCACCGTGGCCGCGCTGATGTCGTCCCGCAGCAGATAGTGCTGTGGGGGGAAGGGGGGAGGGGTGAGGGGTTAGGGTGGGGGGGTAGGTATTGCGGGGGAAGGGAGTTGCGGAAGTGGGGGGGTTTGGGGATGGGGCTGGCAGAGGGTATTTGAGTCGACTCTACATCCATGTTGATGCCGCCACCGTGGCTGTGCTGATGCCGCCCCGCACCAGATAGTTCTGCCGGGGGGAGGGGCGAGGGGGGAGGGGGGAGGGGGGAGGGGGGAGGGGGGAGAGGGGGGAGGGGGGAGGGGGAAAGGGCGGGGTGGGGGGGGTGGGGGGGTGACGGGTGGGGCTGGGGTTGAGGAAGGGGTTGAGGAGGGAGTGAGTTGAGAAAGGGGATGAGGAAGGGGGTGAGGAAGGGGGTGCGCAAGGGGGTGCCGCAGGGAGTGAGTGAGGTGGTGTGACAGGAGGAGAGAGGGATTGTGGGGCACGGGGCACGGTGCACGGGGCACGGGACACAGTGCACGGGGCGCAGTAGTGGGGTGTGAGGGAGCTGCAAGGTCATGACGTCAGGCCCCGCCACACCACGCTGTGCCACACAAGGCGAGCGTGCCTCCGCCAGGCCCCACCACACTGCCTCCGCCAGGCCCCACCACACTGCCTCCGCCAGGCCCCACCACACTGCCTCCGCCAGGCCCCACCACACTGCCTCCGCCAGGCCCCACCGCACTGCCTCCGCCAGGCCCCACCACACTGCCTCCGCCAGGCCCCACCACACTGCCTCCGCCAGGCCCCACCACACTGCCTCCGCCAGGCCCCACCACACTGCCTCCGCCAGGCCCCACCACACTGCCTCCGCCAGGCCCCACCACACTGCTCACACTCTCCCCGCACATACCATGCCTTCACCGCTTGTAACCCGCCATGCACTGCCTCACCCGCCACACCATTCACGCCCTTACCCCCCACACTCCCCCCAAACCCCCCCCTTCCCACCTTGCCTGCTCCCCCCCACGCCTCCCCTGCTCCCCCCGCCGCACCTGTCCGAGCCATCGCTTGGCGCGCCGGCTCTTGCTGCGCAGCGCGTCCGCCGTCGCCTGCGCGTTGCGCCGCATTGAGTCCGTCACGGCCCCGCTGCTGCCAGCAGCGCTCTCCGCTTCCTCCGCCGCCGACTTTCCGCCCTCCCTTCTGCCACTCCGGCTCTTCCGCCCTCCGCCGTTCTCTCCCCCATGCGCACGCGTCGTCCGCTGATTGGACAGAGACGGCGCCGCGATTTCTCCACTCCCACCATCTCGGCCGCCTTTCTTTCTCCCACCGTCCGATGCCTCCGCGCTTCGTGCCTCGGCTCGCGCAGGCGCAAAGCGGTCAGCCCCGAGAGGCGGTGGTAACGGCGCGCGCGGGATGGGTAGGCGGAGCGTGCGGGTGAGCATTGCAGCCCTCGGGAATAGAAAGGTGGACACCCCAGGGCGGTGATCTGTGAACCTCCAAATCGGAATGTAAACATCGCGATATAATAAACCCGAAACACAGTAACACGATACGAGATGTCAATCTCATTCCTCAATCCCAATGCTCTCATTCCCTATATGAATAGTCCAGCAGTCCGGAAAAAGGTGGTCGAGTGGAGTACAGAAAACGCAACATAAGGGCGTGGAACATTTATAAACAAAAATATTGTCCTGGCAACACTGGTGGCCGGTGATGGGCTAAGGGCACATTCCGCTGTGGACACTGTCCCAATCGATGTGTCCCAATCGAGTGTACCGCTCCGAACCGAACTAAACCAGAGACGCGAAAATTTCGAAACTAGGGTGCAATTTGGTGTAATACGATGCATTGCGGTAGAAACGATTGGGACACATCGATTGGGACATGGTCCACAGCGGAATGTTCCCTAAAAATGATGGAGGCCCAGTGTACATTGTTGTGCGCATTGGAGCCGGTTGCCTAGTACCACACTCTTAAAATAGCAAATTTCAAATATTAGAGCAACACAAGTATACAGTACATATTGGCCAAGATATACTGTACTATTGGGATGTACTCGTCAATCCATACCTGTATGCGGAACAAGAAAGTGAGGCCCTTTCTGTTCCTGTCTAACGTACGGTATCTGCTCTACAAGTCAAACTACTCGGCTAAATGTGGTTAAGTTAGACTATCACATCCCATATAATAACCATACGTAATATTCTGTAGTAACGACTGCAGTGTGTGTCATCGGTACTCGCGCAGCAGGTAGCTGGCAGGGCTGATAGGCTCGCCCCATGTGGTCTTGCTGAGCCCAGTGCCCGCTGCCAGGTCACAGTCAGCAGCATCACCATCCATCATGGGCGCGTGCGTGTTTGCGTGAGAGTGCGCATGGGAGCGTGCAAAGCCCGCCTTGCGCATCGATGCAGGCGTGCTGCAGCGGAAGACGTCAAGCGATGCCAGTGCCTGCGGCCTCACAGGCTGGAAGGAGCGGGAGAGAAGGCAGGGGCGGGGAGAGCAGTGGGACAGGCAAGATGGATGAGATAAGGGCGGTGGGCCAGGCACAAGGCAAGGGCAGTGGAGGACAGCGTGGTAGCAGTATGGGAGGGATAGTAGATGCAGGAGAGTAAAGGGAGGCCGGGAAAGGGAGGAAATGAGTGCGAAGCAGAGGGGTTGAGCAGGGGAGCAACGTACCGAGAGCCAGCGAGCGGTGAAGGGCGACATGGGTGACGCGAGTGATGACGCCACGCCCGCCATGCCCGCACGTGAAGGCGTTGGGGAGAAGAGCGACCCCTCCACCCCCACCTCCTGCAACACCCACTGCCCCTCCGACCCTGCTGCTCCCTCACCCCCTCCCACCAAAGCAGATCCTCCATTACCCCCTCCTGCCTCTGCTCGGCCCAAGCTGTTCCCCTGCCCCTCCCCTGCTGCTGCTGCTCGCACTGCTGCCACGCGCTTGAGAGGGGGTGGGGACAACACACCAGCACAACCGCCTGCTGCCTCTCCCTCTGCCTCTCCACCCTCTCCCTCTCCCTCCCCCTGCACCTGTGCCTGCTGCTGTGGCTTGCCCACGCACCGGTGCAGCGGCGGTCGCACCCGCCTCACCTTCCTCTCTGAACCCTCCTCTCCTCCTCCCCCCGCTGTTGAGCCTGCCTCTCCGCCATTCGCTCCACCACCACCGGCGCCACCCCCAGCAGCACCAGCAGCAGCGCCTGCAGAGCCACAAGCAGCAGCACTGGAATCAGCTGGTGGGTCGGCATTGTCAGCAGCAGAGAAGGGGCGCTTCAGCGGGCGAGGAGGAGACGTGGAGGCGTTGTGTGGTGCTGGTGCCTTGTGCTGTGGCGCTTGTGGTGATGGCAGTGCCGTGCATGGCTTGCCTTCTGCTGCCACTGCTGCGTCCACGTCACTCACTGCCTCAGCACACTCAAGCGGGTCAACCTCACATGCACCAGGTGTCGCATCAGGTGCTGCAGAAGCAGCAGTGTGGCCATGGGCAGCACGTGAGCCCCCCTCAGCCATGGTCTCACCAACCTCTGCTACTGCCGCATCACCAGCCTCTGCAGACGCACACTCAGCACCACTGGCAGCAGAACCAGCAGCAGTGCCACCGCCACTGCTACCAGCAGCAGTCAGGGCCACCCTCGCACTACCGGCCCTGCTGCTTCCCTTCCCATGAACAAGGGGCAGCTGGGGCTGCGCAGGTGAGGGCATCTGCAGGGGCGGAGGGGGTGCAGCAGCAGCAGCAGACGTGACAGTGGCAGAGGCCATGGTGCTCGTGGCGGCCATCAGTGCTGCCGCAGGAGGGGAGGTCGCTGGTGTCACTGAGGGGGACAGTGCCCCGCTCATGCACGACTGGCTGCCGCTGCAGCTGCTGTAGCACCCTGAGTAGCTCACGCTCGCACCTGAACCTGCCAGCTCCGGCGAGCAAAGCTCCCTCGGTGCGGGCCGAGCCTTAGCTGCTGCTGCAGCTGCTGCAGAGGACAGCAGGCGCCCGGATCCAAAAGGCCCTGCAGGGACCGCCACTGCTGTTGCTGCTCCTGCTGCTGCTGCCCCTGTGCCCCCAGCAGTGCCAGTGCGTATGTGCGAGGGCAGGGCTCCTGTGAGGGGCGGCCGTGCACCGGAGGCAGCCTGCAGAATGCCCCTGAGGCTGGCGAGCCCAGGCCCCACAGCCGCCACCTGCCAGTCAACGCCTCCCCCAGGCAGCACCTTGCGGATGAGCCTCCTCGTCTGTGCCTTCAGGGCGGGACCCTTGTGTGAGCCTGCTGCTGTGGTGCTGCCTGCCTTGGTCCCAACCTTCACTGCAGCAGCTACAGCAGTGTCAGAAGAGTCACACGGCTTGCTGTCTGCACCGCTGGCACCAGTGCCCTGCACACACTTGCTCTCTTGCCGCTCCTTCTCCCCGTCTGCACTCCCCTCCTCCGTTGCCCCCACCTTCTCACCATTCTCCACCACTCCTGACCGCAGCGGACCCACTCTAGGGGAGGCCACCACAGGAACTGTACCCAGACGCGATCGCCCCACCACTCCCACTGTTGCCCCGGCACCAGCTGCTAGTGACGCTGGTAATGGTGGTGGTGCTGCTGTAGCAGCAGCAGGGGCAGCAGGTGCAGATGTGGGCTGAGGAGCATCAGCATGCGCAGGCGCAGTGGCAGCAGGAGAGTCGGTAGAGGGGGTGTCTGTGGAGGGCACGGGCGCGCGGGATGATGGGGACGAGGCGTCTCGAGTGGACGAGGCAGAAACACAGAGTGGGGGGGACGGGAGAGTGGAGGACGAGGAGAGCGGCTTGCTCAAGGATGCACCCTCCTGCTCATGCTTCTTTGAGTGCGGCGTGGTGAGCTCATGACTGGGTTTGCTGCCATGCATGGCGTCATGCATGTGGGTGTCAGCAGCCGCATCCAGCTCCAAGTGCAGCACACGGCTCAGGGGCAGGGCCCCATTGCCAGCACCAGAAGCGCCAGCAGCGCCAGCAGAAGCAGCCACCGTCGCAACTTCCCCATCCAGCTTCAGCTGCTTCCTCGGAGACACTCTCCCTTCCGGCCTTGCTCCTCCCATGCCGCCTCCTCCCCTCGCCCCTGCCTGCGCCCCATCCTCCTCGCCCTCTCTCGCGCGCTTCTTGCCCTCGGGGCTCACGCTCTTGCCACGTGTCAGCGTCCACGTCACCGGCCCGCAGTGAACGCCCCCCTCTCCATCCTCGCCGTCAATGGCAGCTGCAGGCAGAGCGAAATCAGCCGGATCCTCCTCCTCTTCCTCCTCCTGCGCTTCCTCCTCTTCCTCCTCCTGCTCCTTTCCCGGTCCCTCCTGCTTTCCCTCCCTTTCCTTCACTTCCACTTCCTCCTCCTCCTCCTCCTTCTGCTCCTCCTTGTCCCCCAGGTCGGTTGCACGGCCATCCTTCACAGCTGCCCGCCTGCACGCGGGGCGTTCACACTTCACATTCCTCTGCGGGCTGCTCACGCCATCCAGGCCGCATTCGCCCGATTTCTCACGCCGCAGCCCCTCGCCGCCCCTCCCTTTCTCATTCCCGACCTTAACACCACTCTCACTCCCCTTCTCATTCTCGCTGCCACCATCCTTACTATCAGCACCATTGCCCATCCGCAGAAGCAGCCCGCCCTTATCACGCCCGTCACTGTCAACATCGCATGTATCACTCCCCTTAGCGACACCGCCTTCTCCAGCCCCACCTGCAGTGGGGGCCTCCTCTGCACCCGTTGACCCTGCTCTGCGCTGTGCACTGCCCAGCCCTTCTGGCTGCTCCCTCAGCAGAGCCAGCACCCTGCCCGATTCCAACACTCCCTCCGCCTCTCTTCCACCCTCTTTTCCCTTCTCCCCCCGCTCCTCCCCGCCCTTTGCGGCACCTACAGTAGCCCCGTCAGCATCATCGGCAGCAGCAGCACTATCAGCTGCAGCAGCAGCACGAGAAGCAGGTGGAGGCGTGGCAGCAGAAGCGTTGGCAGTGACCTCAACCACCCTCCTGCGCTTGCGGAAGATGGAAGGAGGGCCGTCCAGGGAGCGGCCAGCACTGAGCAGCAGGCACGACATGGACAGTGAGGCAGCACACGAGGGGGGGCTGCGGCCCGAGAGGAAGGGCGAGAGGCCTGAGAAGATGGCGTTCACTGGCGTCTGACAGCCCGCTGAGGGCGCGGCAGGCTGCATCTGCCTGGGGGTCTGGCAGCCGGTGGACGGCAGAGGAGGTAGCATCTGGCGCAGGCCGAGAGGCGAGGAGAAGGGCTGCGCAGAGGAGGAGGGGAGGTTGAGAGCGGTGATTTGCGGTGAGGCAGGCAGGGCGGGGCCGGTGGTGGGGCTGAGGAGGAACGAGTCGAAGAGGGGGGGCAGCGGCACGAGGGGAGGGGGCGCGGAGGAGACAGCAGTGGAGGGCGCAGCATCGAGGTGGTCCAGCTGCGGCGGCACGTAGAAGAGCGAATCGTCCACCGCCCTCTCCACCGCCCTCTCCACCGTCACCAGCCCCGGCACTGCTGCTGCTGCTGCTGCAACAGCCGCAGCAGACGCAGGAGTGGGAGTATCCGCAGCAGCGGCAGCAGCAGCGGCGGCAGCGGTGGTGGTGGAGCCAGTCGCTCCTGCATCAGTCACCGCGGATCCAGCCTCCCCTGCAAGGCCGCCCTGACTGCCCTGGAAGCCCTGAGTCGCATGGTACTCATGCACTGCCTGCTCCGCTGCTTGGAACAGCGGCTCTGCTGCCGCCCCGTCCAGACTCAGCAGCCGCTGCACCGCTGCCGCCTCCTCCTCCTCCGCCCCCTCGCGCCCTCGCATGCCGTCACTCTCCGCCTTCACTTCCGCCCTCGACTCCCAGGCTCCGCCTGCACGGCTTGCTGCACGCCCTTGTGCTGCAGCGTCGCCTGCCAATGTGGTACCGCTTGGAACAGCGTTGCTGCCACCCGTTACAGAGTTTCGGCTGCCTGGAAGGATTTGGGGTTTGGTGTCTGCTAGCATAGCAACGGGGGGCGGAGAGGGAGTGTTAGCAGCAGGGGCAACTCGAGGTGGTCCTGCTGCTGCTGCTGCTGTTGAGGCTGGTGCTGGTGGTGCTGATAACGCTGGTGCCACCGGTGTTGCTGCTGGTGTCTGAGTGGGCATGAGAGGCACGGACAACAGGGATGGGGCTGCTGCTGCTGCTGCAGCTGCTGCTGCTGCTGGTGCTGGTGCTGGTGGTGCTGGTGCTGGGACTGGCAGTGCGGTTTGAGGTGCCATGTGAACAGGTCGCTGTTGCTGCTGTTGATGCTGCTGCTGTTGTTGCTGTTGATGCTGCTGCTGTTGCTGCTGTTGCTGCTGCTGCTGCTGCTGTTGCTGCTGTTGCTGCTGCTGTTGTTGCTGTTGCTGCTGCTGCTGATGATGCTGCTGCTGCTGATGCACGTGCAGTGGACCTGTTGAGTAGGCCGATGGCAAGGAGAGAGCAGGGCGAACAGCAGAAGCAGGGGCAGGAGCAGGAAGAGGAGGGCAGCAGGGAGTGCAGGCAGGGTGGGGCATGGGGCAGCGGCAGCGGGGCTGCTGGCTGTACTGGGGCTGCGTGGGGCCGGCAGCGAAGGCAGCCGAAGCTGGTGGCGGTGGTGGTGGTGAGCGGGCGGGTGTGGGAGCGTAGGCGGAGGAAGAGGGGGCGATGATGGAGTGAGGTGGAGGGGCGCGGGGAGGAGGAGGAGGGGGAGGGCAGGATGGCATCTGGAGGCCCCGCTGCTGCCATGGTGGCATTGGCCCGTTCTGATACTGCTGCTGCTGCTGCGGTGGCTGCTGTTGCTGCTGCTGCTGCAGTAGCTGCTGTTGTTGCTGCTGCCGTGGTTGAAATGCTTGCTGCCCTTGGCTTTGATAATACATAGGCTGTGACGGCGGTTGCTGGCGCTGCTGATGCTGCTGCTGCTGCTGCTGCTGCTGCTGAGGTGCGCACGTGGAGCTTGTGTGCGGCATGGGCCCTTGCTGCTGAGGCAGGTACGCCTGCTGCTGGCTGGGGCCTGGCCGCGCTTGGGGGAGGGTGAGAGCGGGGCGCGAGGGCAGGTGCAGGAAGGACGAGGACGCAGGGGCAGCGCTGGGGGGAGCGCCAGCAGGGGCGGCAGCAGGAGCGGGAAGAGGGGCAGAAGAGAGGACGGCTGGTGAAGGTAGAGTGAGCGCCGGGCGAGCAGGGATCGGTGCAGATGTGGGGGCAGCATAACGTGAGGTATCCGTTAGGGGCGCAAACCCTGACTGGTTCTGATGCTGCTGCTGCGCCTGCTGCGGCCACGGCTGCATGGCTTGTGGCTGGCTGCTGCTGCTGCTGCGGGTCATGCCCATCCCGCCAGGCGCATTCAGCGGCCTGCTGCACGCTATGCGCAGCAGACTCGGCTCCGCACTTCCCCCCTGCGCGCTGCTGTTGGGCGCACCAGAAGACAGAAGCGCGGAGCCCAGTGCGAGCGGGGGCCCAGAACTGGTGGGGGGATGGGGGGGCGCGGCGCTGCTGGCGGGCATGCTGGCGCAGCGGTGGGCATTTGCGATGGCTGGGGGCTGCGCTGAGGGCATGCGGAGGGGTGCGACGGAGTTGAGAGGCGCGCACGCGTTGATGGAGAGGGGCGCGGGGCCGCTGTAGGGAGGCGGGCAGCGCGGAAAGGAATTGCTGCTGGCTGGCGGAGGTTCACGTGAGCACAGCGGCTGCTGCTGCTGGAGCTGCGACTGTTGTTGTTGCAGCTGCGGCTGCTGCTGCTGCAGCTGTGGTTGCTGTTGTTGCTGATGCTGATATTGATGCTGCTCTGGCTGGTGCTGGTAGTGACCGTTCGGCTGAGCTTGCTGCTGTCTCTGCACCATGGCCCCCTGTTGCACCATGGCCCGCTGTTGCACCACGGCACCCTGCTGCCCCACGCCCTGCATTGCCACTCCACCGTGTGCCACGTCAGCGCCAGCACCACTGCCACCATCGCCATCCTCATCCCCATCAGGGCGGGGTCCTTTCTCTTCGGGAGAGCACGCCAGGGCGGACGGCAGTCTGCCGCCTAGCAGCGTGATGGTGCGGCTGGTGGGCCCCACGCGACAGCGGCCGCTCGTCAGGTGTACGCCCGGCGCCATTGGCTGGACCTGCGCCTGCCCCTGTGCCTGCGTCTGCGCCGGCCCCTGCGTCTGGGGCTGGGGCTGCGCCTGAGGCGCACTGCATGCGCGCAGAGGGGCGCCGCTCACTCTCTGTGAGCCGCTGGACATGGGATTGGGGCCGCTCGCCACTGGCGCTTGGCCGGGGCGGGCAGCAGGAGGTCCGGAAAGAGACAGGCGCGCGGAGGGGGCGGAGTGTTTCTCCGGGGACGCGGGGGGGCTGGCACCCGCGCTGGCGGAAGGCTGAGCCGGACTGGGGGCGGCGGCGGAGCGAGGCGTGCAAGAGGGGTTTGGGATGGCGTCGGATGGTGAGGGACGGGACAACGACACGCCTGAACGACTGCCAGACACAGTTGGATAAGCTCTCTGCTGCTGCTGCTGCTGCTGCTGCTGCTGCTGCTGCTGGTCGTGTTGCTGCTGTTGCTGTTGCTCCTGCTCCCGTTGTTGCTGCCGACGTTGCTCTTCCATCATCTCTAGCTTCACCACCACCTGCTGCGGAAGAACCTGAACGTTCCCCTGAAAGTGGCCTCGGGGCAGCGCAGGCATGCCCACTGCCACTTCCATCTGCTCCTCCCCCTGCTGCGACCCTCCGTTCTCCCTCTCTCCCGCCCGTTCCTTCCCCTTACCCTTCCCTTTAACCTCGGCCCCTCTCGCCCCCTCCTCCGCTTCCGCATCGTCATCACCCTCCTCCCCTCCGTTCTCCTCCTCCTCTCCCCCGCTCCCGCTCCCGCAGGCGCCGTCTCCGCCGATGGGCGGAAGCGGCTTCCCCTCGCGCGCGGCCTGCAGCACTTCCGCGGAGATGGGGATTTCGGGGAGCCCGGGTGACGGCGGAAGCGCGAGGAGGTCCGCGAGAGTGCAGAGCTCGGCGCGCTTCTTCATGCAGCTGTTCCAGTGGTTCTTGATGGAGTTGTCCGTCCTGCCGGGCCGAGGGGGAAGGGGGAAGGGTCCGCGGGGAACGAAGCGCGGATAGGAGCAGGACAAACAAGATGAGTAACGGAAGCACGCGCGGATGCACGGAGGCGGCAAGGCGAGTGGATGCACAGACGGGTGCGCAGGCGCGCGCTGACTGGATGCGCGCGCTGGTTGAGCGCGCTTTCAACCAATACCGCGGGACGAGCCTGCAGGAGAACACAGGCACGACAGGCAACCAGCCTACCACGCGCGCGACGAGATGCGGATACCCCTCCCGACCAACTGCAAACGCATCCAGAAAACGCAGGCACTCCCACACCCCGCACGCACCTGCCGGGCAGGAACTTGGCGATTTCGGCCCACTTGTTGCCGAAGAGCTTGTGCGCCTTGATGAGCTGCACGTCCTCGTGCTCGCCCCACGCCTCCTTCTTGATGCCCGGGTTCAGGTGGTTGTGCCACCGCTCGCGACACTGCTTGCCGATGCGCCCCGGCAGGTGCTGCGCGATGAGCGACCACTTCTTTGCGCCGTACTGCGCCACCAGCTCCGTTATGCGCTCGTCCTCCTGCCACGACACGGGGAAAGGGCGGAAATGGCGGCGGACACACGAGGCATGCGCGCGATGAGGTGCGGTGCGATGAGCGACGAACGATGAGCGATGAGCGATGAGCGATGCGCGATGAGCGATGAGCGTCCTAATGGTGGCACAGTGCCGCGCCGAGGGCAAGGCTGGAAGAGAGGAAAACGAGGCAGACACGACATGAGCAGTCAGGAGTATTGGAGGAGGTTCGACGACCTGCTCGGTACCAGGCCGTTGCTAACATTACTGCGTAGAAGGTCTTTTCGAATCTGAGTTTAAGCTTGATCGGCAGCATCGGCCAACCGAAGCACGAGCGCGACGCAAGTGAGAAACGTCGGCGCGCTGAGAGACGGCTCTCCCAGCTCCACCCAGCTTGACAAACTGCCTCTTCCCTTGACTGCTCGATCCAACGTGCCGACATGCTTGGTCCGGCCCTCCACCCGCTTGATCCCAAGAGCGTACCTCTTTGGTCCAGGGCCCCTTGACGAGGTCGGGGTTGAGCACCTTCTGCCATCGGTGCAGGCACTGCACGTCCGTGCGGTCTGGGAAGAACTCCGCTGGTAGCGAACCGGGTGGGGAGGGGAGATCGGATCGCAGGCGAAAGCAAAAGCAAGCCGTTAGCACGATGTTACGCACATCCGACGCTATCACCTTTGCGGCACACTTTTCGCTAGCATCACAAAACGTAACAAAGGCTCACCTATTTTACGCCAGTTCTTGCCCTTATAGCATTGCACTGCTCGCCGTAGGATTTCGTCCTGACGCGAAGGAAGACGGGAGGAAAGGGAGAAGGGGTAGAGGCGAGCGTCAGTCTTATCCAGCCATGACATGACTTTGCCCGCACACGAAACAGTCAAGGGACGTAGAACCTTTTTTTCTTAAAAACATGAGCTATAAGGAACAAAGGAAACCGCCGAAGAAGCAGACTCGATGGCGTTCGAAATAGTTTCTGGCCTTCCCCGGCCGAAGCGTACAGGCTGCCTACGCCAACTGCTTAGTGAAATCGAAGTGGTATGGATGCGAGGGTAGGGTGCGAGGTGGAGGGTACGGCTGCGAGGGTGCATACCTCCTCGGCGGTCCAACCACCTCTTGACGACCGGCGGGTGGGTCCGCCCGTAGGGCTGCAGGAGAAGCAGAGGGGAGCACGGAAGAACAGAGGAATGAGCAGCGGCGGGAGCGTGAACGGACGTGCTTCCGAAAGCCAGCATCACGCACTAGTCAGGGCTCGCACTAATGTGAAGCCGCACTCACCCAGTCACGGGAGGCAGCGTCCTGAGCACGTCCTCCTTGTCGAGCGGAATGCCGCTGGAATGGCCTATCTCGTACCCCCCGCTGCTCTGCGGAGCTCCGCTGCCACGAGGCTCGGGATAGCTGGTCAGCGTATCGTGATCTCCTGACGCGCCTGCCGCGCTAGGCATGTAAGGACGGTTATCCGCCATTACCGCATGTCTTTGTCGGGTATAAAATAATTTCAACTACTTACTAACAAGAATCGTATCTATCTCGCTAGTAATCGGTAACTAACTTTTACCTGGAAAGCCTACCGATGAAATTATTCGTGGAACCAGGTTAGTTTTCGCTGGTGAGGTAAGTATACAAATGCAGCCGGGTATTCTGTCAGCTGGACAATCGACGTGAGTAAGTAACAACCGAGAACCGGCAAAATTAATATGATTTGGCAAGCAGCGTCAAGCTCAACAGTCAGTCTTAGTGCATCGCTCTTCTCACAGCTCCTTGGTGGAAGTCACGCGTCTGACAGGAAAAATATGCCAAGTCCTGCAAAGCTCAAGTTAGACACTGTAGCTAAGAGTACGTCAGGGACTTTCAAGAGAGGGGTCCGTCACCCCCAAACAAGCCACCATCAGCAGCAGCAGCACCTGGCAACCGCGAGGGAAGCCCAAGGTGCTGGCTTAGTTGGACCTGCCCTAAACTAAACCAGAGCCTGCTCTGAACACCAGCTAAACTCGGGCAGAACAGAAGCTAGTTTTGCAGGTGGCCAGCCCGTAGGAACGTCCGTTTGCAATAACTCACAGAGACTGCCTGCCCGCGCCTTGCAGAGTTGCTGCTTGGTGTGAGAAACACCCGCCAGCCCTGGAAGGGCTCCCATATGTCCTTGTCAGGGAAGGGGCAGGCGGCTTGGCCTGCCAAGCCCAGTACAAAGCGACACGGATGCAGCAACCAACCACACAGCTGAAGCAGTGAGAGGTTCGGTTTGGTGTCCGAGTTCCTCTAGGTGCTTCGGGTAGCCCTGAACCACTTGGCAAGGAGTTCCGAACGGAAAGGTGGTTCAAAAGCCCGCGCCATTCAGGTGTGGTGTCCACCTGTTGCTCCGAATTACCGTTGCAGGTAGGTTTGGTGGGAGCGGTTTTCCCGCCAAACTCAATTTCCAGGCACCGTTGTTCCGTTGTCCTCTTGTGGCAGCCATTGTATCGAGAAGCATAAATTACGGACATAAGGGAGGTTGGAAAGTCACATTTCGTGATTGTGGAGGGGTTACATAACGAGGGTTGTCAACCTAGTACATGTACAGAATTTGATTGCTCCCAATCTATTATGAGTTCTTATTCCCCCTATAGCGCAAGTCTTCATCATATACAACACTAGACTTGGACCGTTCCTTGGCCGTTACAACACTCTACACTGCTCTTCGGCAGTTCTTAGGTCAGTGAGTGAATCTTTAAACTCATTGACCTAGGTCGGAGCTAGCCGATCCTGTACTAGTACAACCTGTTACGAATAGTGGTTAGTGAAAACACTATTGATCACTCCTCACCGTAGCAAAGCCGAAGCACGCAGTATCGAGAGTGAAGACGAAAAGACAGAAGAAATGCGAAGAGACAGACGGTTACGAAGGACATCCGGACCGTCGGGCAGACAACATCAGGCAGCAGCAGTGGCGAGGATTCTGCCCGAACAGTTCCGTAACCACCCGGAGTCGCACGGTTGGATTTCGCTGTAATAAGGGAATGTACCCCTTAAGAGTACATGGCTAGCTAGGTCGTTTCGTATTCCCCTGTACTCTTATTTATATTCCTTGTACTGCATGTTTTTATTATCTCAAGCATTTACATTCACTCTGCTATTGAGGTCAAGGGCCCACCACCACTAGATTAGAAGTGTGCGAACCTTCCTGAGGTGATCCTGGTTACGATCAACTTCTGATCGCAGCATGGTATGAGAGCGACTCGGGAATCCTTCGCACTGCCATCTCCGAAATCTACGACGTTCGGAAAGTGGCGTCCGGCACACGATCGCGTGTAAGAATGGCCGGAGGATCTGGAGGTCAGACAAATCTGACGGCTGAAGCGCAGCCCAACCCGACTGCGACAAACGAGGAAACGACGACGATTCCTTCCGTCGTCCTCGCACAACTGCTTCAGCGACTCACGAGCTTGGAGCAAGGGCTCCAGATGAGAAACTGAACGAGAATGAATTGACTAAGGGAAAGTTGGGTACAAATGCAAACCCTAGAAAACTGTACCCCATATGTGCTACCCCACTATAGCCTACAGTAGCTATGTCATATAAATCTGACACACCCCCATAGGCAAAGTGGGGGAGAACAAGGGGTCACAAGACCAGTCAAGCAAAGCAAAGCAAGCTCAGGGTGGATCACAAAGTCACCACACATTCCGAGCACAAGTTCAAGGCCACAAGGCCAGTTCACATGCAGGATTACATCTATATATAAGGCTAGACAAGCAAGAGCAGGTGTATATATATATGCAACAGTACAAACAAGGTCAAGGGGTGAGCAAGTGAGGCAAGGTAGGCACAAGACCCAGCTGAGTACAGAAGCGCTGATGATCACAAGGCGCAAGTGCCTTGGTGAAGATATCAGCAGTGTTGGCCTGAGAGGCCACGTACGCAAGCCGCAGCTGACCACGCTGCTGTAGCTCACGAGCAAGGAAGTAGCGGAGAGCAATGTGCTTCGTTCTGTGCTCCAGTCTCTGCTCTCGACACAAGGCCAGCATGGCCTTGTTGTCTACGTACAGCACTGGAGGAGAACGAGGCGGCTCTCCGAGGTCAGTCAGCAGGTAGGTGAGCCAGCGAAGCTCCTGTGCAGCCATGGCCCCGGCGTAGATCTCAGCCTCACAACTGGAGCCGAGAACAGAAGACGAGCGGGTAGCCCGCCACGAAACAGAGCCGGAACCAAGGCTGAAGGTGTAACCCTGTGACGACCGCTGCGTAGCCTGGTCGTCAGCCCAAGAAGCGTCTGCGTGCCCAGTGAGGACCACTGGACTCTGCCCTCCAAGCACAAGCCCCATGCCCGACGTACTGCACAAGTAACGCAACACCCTCTTCGCTGCAGCCATGTGCTCCGGTCTGTGTCTCCCAGGAGCAACATAGCGTGCGAGAATGCTAAGAGGGTATGCGAGGTCAGGTCGTGTGCAGGTCATCAGGTACATGAGGCAGCCAACAAGCTCTGGGTACGGGCCACTCGACTCTACGGACTCATCCGAAGGCAGAGCTGAGAGCGAGTGGCGAGTAGGCAGAGGAGTGGCCTGAGGCGAGGAGTACGTGAAGCCGAAGCGCTGAAGGACCTGCTGCACCATGTGTGACTGAGTCAGGGTAATGGTGCGGCGTGCTCTGTCCCGGGTGATCTGCAAGCCAAGGTAGCTGCGCAGTTCACCCAGGTCTGTGCACGTGTGTCTCTTCTGCAGCTCGGACTTCACGTGGGCGAGTCCAGCAGTGTCAGCTGTGGCAAAGACCAAGTCGTCGACGTACACGAGGATGTAGAACGGCGGCAAAGAAGTGTCGGTGCGCAGAAACAGCGACGGGTCGGCAGTAGAGGGAGCAAACCCAAGAGCCGCAAGTGTAGTCCTCAGTGTGTCGTGCCACTCACGCGGTGCCAGGCGGAGACCGTAGACTGGCCGCCGGAGGCTCCACTGGGTGCCAGGAGGAAAAGACCCAGTGAAGCCAGGTGGGCGACGCAGCCAGATCTCCTCGTGCAGGCTGCCCTGCAAGAAAGCAGTGCTGAAGTCAAGAGAGTGCAGCTCGTAGTCGCGGTGAGCAGCTATGTGCAGCAGTACCCGAAGAGTGGTCATCTTCAGGGTGGGAGAGAAGGTCTGAAAGTAGTCAACTCCCTGCCGCTGACTGAAGCCACGAGCCACGTAACGCGCCTTGAAGACAAGCGGAGAACCCGGCGGCCGCTTCACCCTGAAAATCCACATGCCACTGACGATGTTCGCCCCAGGCGGGGGAACCTCGTCAACGTAGGTGCCTGTGGACTTCCAGGAAGCCATCTCTGTGTCCATAGCTTCCTGCCACTGAGAGGAGTAGGGACCCTCTATCGCCTCCGCGTAAGAGCGCGGAGTCGGGATGTCAAGTGCATCCGGGTCTCCCTCAGGGGTAAGCAGTACGGACACGAGATGAGGTGAAGCAGCAGCACGAAGAGAGTCCGAATCCGGGTCGGGAAGAGCAGGAAGAGAGGACTCAGGAGGAGAAGGCAAAGGGGCACGCAGAGGAGCAGTGGACGGACGCAGAGACATCCGGTGCGTGCCAGGGACAGGAGGAGGATGCTGACGCGAACCACGACCACTAGTGCGAGCAAGACGGACAGGCGACGCAGGGCGAGACGCAGGCTCACGACGCTCAGCCAGACCTCCAGTAGGACCAGTGTAGGGAGAAGGAGCGGGCAGTGGGGAGGCCGGCTGTAACTGTAACTGTGACGGGACAGGCTGTGGACACTCTAAGGGAGGAGGAGGACCAGTAGAAGGCGGGAGACCAAGAACCTGCTGAAGGAGCGGTACGAAGTACGGCCGAGGCCGCGCGGCGACTCCAGACACAGCAGGGATTTCACCAGTACCCCCAGCGGCAGCACCAGCGCCAGCAGCACCTCCAGCTCCAGTACCTCCAGCAGCACCAGTAGCACCCCCAGCAGGATTGCCTCCAGGACCGACAGCAGTAGCCTCAGCGTCAACACCCTCAGCAGCTCCAGCTCCAGTCGTACCCGCAGGCCCAGCAGCTCCAGTACTCCCAGTACGAGCACCTCCGGGACCCGCGGCACCAGCACCCTCAGCAGCCGAAGAACCTCCAGCTCCAGCAGCACGCCTCCAGCGCCGGGCAAACCACTCGCGCAGCTCCTGTGGAGAGAGTGGCTCCCGCCGAGACGAAGCACCCGGAGAACCTCCAGGCTCAGCACCGCCAGACGCCACACGAGCAGGCCCAGCTCCCTCAGGCTCCGCACCCCCAGGCTCAGCACCTCCAGGCGTAGCACCCCCAGGCTCAGCACCCCCAGGCTCAGCACCCCCAGTAGTAGCACCCCCAGGCTCAGCACCCCCAGGCTCAGCACCCCCAGGAGTAGCACCCTCAGGCTCAGCACCCCCAGGCGTAGCACCCACACGCTCAGCACCCCCAGAGTCAGCACCCCCAGGCTCAGCACCCTCAGCAGCACCAGAGTCACCAGTAACCTCGACAGGCTCGACGGCGTCTACCT